CAGTACTCCTTTCCTGTGAGTTCATTGAAACGCTCATGTATATATTGTATAATATTTTATAAAAAGTTATACTGGCAAAGTAATACAGTTTTAACAAATGTAATACATATACCTTTATACAGCCTTATACACTTACTTCTGTATACAAATTTACTGCCAATGTTTTTTCACCCGCGAAGAGTCGTCGGAGATTTTGACCCGGGGTTTACAAACCTCAAGAAAGAACTCGACGATATGAAAGCCGAGCTAAAGAAAAAGAACTCAGAGATTGTCTACCTCAAAAATAAAGTTCATGAGCTTGAACAATATGGGCGGCGCAACAACGACCGTATTTTCAAAATTTTTACCAGTATCGGAATTTTTACCAGTATTGAATTCAAAATTTGGTAATTTTGCGACCGTCTACAAATGCGTTTTGTGAAGTTCTGATAATTTTTAGACAGTCGCCAGATAAGGTCAAAAAACTATGGGGAAGTACCCCATCTAAGCTCGCCAAAACGAATGTTGCGTTTTGGGTATAAGGAGTTTAGAAACGCCCATTCTGAGGCTGGAATCGGATTCCTGAGATCATTTTACGTTCCGGGACATGCCCGATCGCCTCCTAGCACGTCCTGGCTCCGACAACGGTCATTTTAACGAAATTTCAGTGAAAACCCCTTAAAAAACTTCAAATGCCCATAACTTCTGAACCGTTTGAGCTACAGAGCTCCAAAAACTCAGGAAAATTTATCTTATTAGGGACCACTTTAGGGCAAAAAAATAATTTTTCCCAAGGGGTCACTTTTGTTTTAATAGATCTAGTTTGGAATGCCCCATATACTAACCACTGTGACTCACAGCTAGATTTAATTGCCGCAAATGTTGATAATCTTATTTTAGATGCTAGACAAACACCTGCCCCAGCTCTCTCTAATCATGACCTCCTGTATGCTGCGTTTAATATTTCTTCCTCTGACAGAGTAAGTAAAGACTGTGTTTCAGAGACTTCAAAAATTCCTCATATGAGAAGTTTTCTGAGGAGATTTTGTCTCACTCATGGGAAGACAGTTATATTCTTGACAACATCGATGACAAGGTGAACACTTTAAAAAGTCACTATTTTCAATTTATGATAAACATGCACCATTCACCACCCATAATATGAATGGAGAGGAGCCACCATGGCTCACACAGAATATCAAGAGGCTTATTCACAAGAGGGATAGAGCAAGGTGAAATTTTGCCAAAAATAAAACTA